ACAGAATTCGTTCTGCGGCTGCCATACGAGTGTCTCTGGGAGCATGCATGAACAGGTACAGGAGTTTCCCAAGAAGTCTCTGAAAGACCCCTTTGTCTTCTAACAACGTCCCTTCTGAAGCGGAAAGTTTGTGACTCATATCAATAGGAGTAGCAGCTGGTCTAGCACCCATCTTCCCAGTTTCAGAAAGCAAGTCAAGGACATACTTCCTTTGGGAGATAAGGATCCCATCCTTGGATCTAGCAACTTCTATGCCAAGGAAGTATCTCAACTCCCCCAGGTCCTTAATCTCAAATTCTATACAGAGGAAAGACTTAAGAGCATGAATTCCTGAAGCATCATTACCAGTCACAACAATATCGTCAACATACACAATGAAATATACTGCCAGAGATCCACTTCTCTTCACAAAAAGAGTATGATCAGATTGTGTCTGAACATAGCCGAAGTTAACAAGTGCTGTTCTAAATCTCTCAAACCATGCTCTAGGAGACTGTTTGAGGCCATAAAGGGATTTCTTCAATCTGCATACTTTTCCTTGCATATCACTTCCATACATTCCTAGAGGGAGAGACATATAAACCTTCTCATGTAAGTCACCATTCAGAAATGCATTATTTACATCCAATTGATAAAGGGGCCAGTCAAAGTGAGCTGCCAGAGATAAGAGAACCCTCACAGATGTCATCTTAGCAACAGGTGCAAAGGTCTCCAGATAATCAACCCCATACGTCTGTGTGTAGCCTTTTGCAACTAGCCTGGTCTTGTACCTCTCAATGGCATCCCTCCTTCAGGAATCTCAAGAGCTTCTGACACAGACTTGGGAATAGGATTAGAAGTAACTAAAGAGAGAAAAGAAAAGTATGAAGGAGAAAGCAGACCATAAGAAAGGTGTTTTGAAATGCAGTGTGCAGTGCACTTCCATTTTCTTTTCCTAACAGCAATGGGAACATCAAGATCCGGGAAAGATGGCTCCAAAGGGGTTGAAACAGTACCTGTTGTCTCATCTGTGACTGGAAGTGCATGAGGCTCATTTGTTGTAAGGGAAACAACCTGCTCATTCCTGGATCTTTGCCTTTGATACACCTTGGGATTATGGGTAGGACGAGGAGGTAAAGAGAGAGGAACACTAGGACAAGGAGAATAGAGTGACTGATCCTCCCTTGATTCATTTGAAGAGGACACAGGCTCATCAAGAGACTCAACTGGGACAGGGAGAGGAAGAGCAAACACTTGTGACAAACTCTCCCCCTGTTGACAATGTCCTTCCTGAGAGGAACCATAAAAAGGAAAAAGTTCATCAAAGGTGACATCCATTGAGACATATCGAGTGCCAGTCTTTGGATCAAAACAACAGTAACCCTTTTGTGTAGGGGAATAACCAAGGAAGATACACTTGTGGGCTTTTGGTTCAAATTTATGTCTCTGGGCACATGGAATGTGTAGGAACATGTAAGGCAAACAAAAGGCTCCTTGCAACTTCAATAATATGCCTATTTTTCCTTTCAGCAACTCCATTCTGTTCAGGGGTTCTAACATAGGAACTTTGATGAATAACCCCCATGTCAGAGAGATAGGAGGATAAGTTCTTCTTAAAATATTCTTTTGCATTGTCAGATCTGAAAATTTTAATCATGGTATCAAACTAGGTTAAAACAAATTCATGAAATTGTCTCACAAGTCTTGGAACTTCATCACGAGATTTCATCAGGAATATCCAAGTGAACCGAGAAAAATCATCAATAAACAAGATGAAGTATCTGTAGCCCCCCATAGAGGATAAGTGGTAAGGTCCCCACACATCAGAGTGCACAATATTAAGAGGAAAAGAAAATCTTTTATTGCTCAAAGGGTAATTGTTTCTACAATGCTTTGATAACTGACACGATTCACAATGAAGACTAGACACACTAATTCCCTTGAACAATTCAGGGAATAAATGACTTAAATCAGAAAAAGACAAATGACCCAAACGACAATGACACAACATAATTCAACTGGCAGACTCTGAAGAAATAGAACCAAAAGTAGCATTCCTAGGCTGATCAAAGCATTGTCCCAGAGTATCGAGCAAGTATATTCCATTCGCTTCATGGCCACTCCCAATCACCTCCAAGACTCCAGATCCTAAAAAACACAGTGGAAAGGAAAGAAGGTTACACAACAATTTAATGACTTGGTTAAACTACTTACAGATAACAAATTTGTATTTAATCTAGGTACATGAAGGGTAGATGGTAGGAGTAAGGAATTTGTAGCGTTGACGGTTCCCTTTCTAGGAATAGAGGCAAGAGAACCATCGGCTAAGGTGATTTTATCATGGCCAGGAAGCAAATCATATGAAACAAACAAAGTAGAAAGGTTGGTCATGTGATCAGAAGCACTTGAGTCGATAATCCAAGGGGTCTTAAGATTACCTGAAGTGGTTGCATGATTAGCAGAAGCTCTTATACCTGAGTGAGCAAATGCAGAAGTGGTTGAACTTCCTGAAGGGTTGGAAGATGAAGTTACACCTTCGAGATGACTAATCATCTTTCCAAACTTTTCATACTCAACTTTCATGGCCGCCAACTGTGCACAGACAGACTCAACTTCAGTATCTGGACCAGTGGCTACATTTGCACTCCCTGTCCTTCTACTTTCATGTTTCTTCTGGAACCGAATAGGAACAAGACCGAGATGTAATTTCCAGCACTTGTCTTTGGTGTGCTTTGGCTTCTTGCAGTATTCACATACAACTTCTTTCTTTCCAAAGCCACTAGGAGCCCCCACAACTCCTTTGGGTTTAACCCCCATATTTGCGAAGTGATCACTAGTGCCAACCCCTTGAACCTGTACCAGCCTTCTGCTTTCTTCACTACTGACCAAAGCATATGCTTGTGACATTGAGACACTTTCCTTGGATAAAATATTTTGTTTTGTGATGTCATATTTTGGGTTTAGTCTAGTTAGGAACTCAAACACCCTGTTTCTTTCAACTAATTTCCTATAGGTTTCTGCATCATTGGTAGTGTCCCAAGTTACAGCTTCTATTAGATCAATTTCTTGCCASAAAGACTTCAAGGTTGAGAAGTATACCGCAAGGGATTTCTCCCCTGTCTTAAATTCTTCACATCACTTCTCAATTTATAGGCTYTGGCTACATTTAGTTTCTGGGAATAGGTTTCTGCAACACTGTCCCAGATTTCCTTTGCTGAGTTCATCCATAGATAATGTTGACTAATCTGTGGCTGCATTGAATTCACAAGCCACCCAATAACGGTGTAATTCTCTTAAATTCCTCTGGGGGAGCCTTCTTGCTCCCGGAGATAAACCCCCACTTTCCTCTGCTACATATATAAATTTTCACAGATTGTGACCATGCCAGATAGTTGGTTCCATCCAGTTTAACCATGGTCACAGTCAACAAAGAATCAGTTGGGGTTCCCAAAGCATGTCCATATTCAGTAACATTCTTGCTCTCAATATCTGAGGAGTCCATCATGTAAATGCTTCAAATAGGGTTTCAATCAACTTCTACTAGTGTATTGAATGTGGATGAACTCAGATTGGGTTAAATCGGCCTCAAACACAGCAACTCACACCCGACAGCTGTGAGAACCAAGCTCGGTAACAGCTCTTTCAAGAAGAAGATGACTTGATTCCGCCTTCAAGAGGTAACCAGCATACCTCCAAACACTGTGTACCCAATTGGAGGACCTTTCTAGTTAGGGATTCTAGGTTCCCAACAATAAGTGCCCCAAAGAGAGCAAAACACAGTCCGCAGTAATTAAAGGGGCCTTTTTATGAACACTGTGTATGCAGTAGAGAATACCCCACTGTCACCAAGTAAGAATCACCTCAGGAGCAGTCCGTATAGGTCCAAGAAGCAACTAAACTGACGTAAGAACTTGCACCACCGAGTCCAAAGAGGTTTCGGCAACTTGACAGTCCAACAGGGTGAGAAAACAACCCAGAAATCTCAGAGTTAAATCAGGTTAACCACAGCCGAACAGTTGATCAAATTTAAAGGCGTTTCGAACACTTCAACTGTCCCCAAAATCAGAAATATAACCCAGGGATAACTGAATGCAACTTACAGTCTTATCTATCTCTGATTTGAGCTCCAAATCAGGCCGAACAGTCCTTCTCTTTGATTCTTCCTAGTCACCGAACCACTCTCCAAGTGATTAGAGTCTTGGGCACCCTCGAATGACCTCCAAGAATCAGGCGAACAAGTTGAAACTTCCAGCCCTAGAACACGCTCATGCAGTCGGCTAGACTATATCCACATGAGAGCCACGCCAAGTTCAGGCCTGCTCTGATACCAAGTTGAAAAACAGCCCTTCGAAGTATGGGACTGTATAGGATTAGATGGAAAAATCAAAAAGGAGTAAAACAACTGAAAAGATTGGTAGAAGATGAAGAGAGAGCTGGCGGCAAAGAGGGTTAGAGAATGAGAGGTTCGAACTAATCTCTCCTTCTAACACTCTAACACTATTTCATTAAGTTAATTTTTGAATAATTAAAAGGGAGGCCCTTGGTTGGGCAAGAAATTAAAAAAAAAACATAGCATAGAAGAGGATGGGCCCGGAATAAGGCCCATTACAGAAAAGAACATAAATATAACATAGAATAACAGCCTATGGGCCATTCGGCTCATCTTCTCTACAGTAAATTAGTTAAAGCTTGAAGAAATTGATTTGTCAAGAATAATGCCTATTTTTCATGTTCTAAATTACATCAAATCTTTAAAATATATGAATTGGAGAAATAATTTCTTTTCATTCCATTTGATGACCTGGTTGAAAGGTTTGTAAATAGTTCTACATTGTATCTAGCTGGACACTTTTTTATCCAACATAATGTATACAATAGATGTAATGTATATGTAGGTAACTTTTGTTGTCAACGCTATGTGCATCTGCCTGATTTTCCTTGGACTAGTTTCTTTTAGAGTTTACAGATAAACTTTTCATGTTCATTTTCTTCACTTATTTGCAAAAACTATCAACTTTCAGTGCAGGAAGCATTGGAAGAAGTTATAGAGGTGAATTCCAACGTTGGCAACTCTTCCCTGGAATATGTGAAGAGAAACCAGTCTTAGCAAATCAGTTTTCTGTGAGTTTGATTGTTACATTTTGAAGATGTAGTATGTTTTGGAGATCAATAACAAAGTTCTATGCTATTTTTGGAAGTTTCAAATAATAATTATTACATAATACAATTAACTTTGGAACTTTGGACATGCCACAACCCAAAACCATTGGAGCACTCTTAAGTTGTCATTTCAGATCAAAGATGTTCTAGTTTATGGAAAGCAACATGGTTTGTTCACAAATCAGAGTTTCATTTGAATCAGTGATCATTGGTAGATGCATCTTTTTAACTTGTTATATATATTTATATATATAACATGGTAAGTGTGGATGTGCTTTGTACATGGCAATTCTAGATGATGATAATTGTGAGCTTAGGAGTTGTATTCGAAGTAGTAGAGAAGAGAAGAAGACCTCTGAAATGCTGTAAATGTCGAACTGAATAGCTCAGTCGACAATACTGTTATTTATATTAGAATGTAGTACAATGATACAAGGAATTACTGGAATGCCCYTDATTAGTGATGRGACAYCYAGACWACTTAAAACATTAAACAGGCTTAGGCCCATTAACACAGGCCCAGTACAGGATAACTTAAACTTTAGTATAGGCTAATAAGAACTCTTATCAGCCGAAAACTCATACATAAAGAGACTTCACTCCAACAATAATGATAGTAATAATGTATCTAAAATTTTCTATAAAATTCATGTATTTTTTACTTTTTTGCTTTTCATTATTAATCGGATGCAGATTGCAAAATCCGAATCCAATTATGTAAGCACCTCATATTAGGTTGCAAAAGTTTTAGGATTGTTAACAGGTGTAATATATGTACTGTTCACAGACTTAGTACCCGCAGGGGTATTTTTGTAATTCTGTAGACATATTGTTATGTAGGGCCAGAATGGTATAAATGCAAAGCTTCACTCGACTGAAGCTAAGTTTTGTTGAGGCCTTAACTYAGTTGCCTCTTATTCTTCTTCCTCTTCTTCTTCCTTCTTCTTTTCTCCTTTTTTCTTCTTCTTCTTGGCCTCCTGCTCAACATGGTATCAGAGCAGGTTCGTCCAGGCCTAGAAAACAACTAACTGAGGTTTCTCTCCTCTGCTGCGAAGGAGCTATAGTACTGATGCTCGAAGACAAGGAAGAGGAAGCTTTTCTAGTGCTGCGGTTAGTCTTCACTGCCGAGTAGGGCTCTGCTACAAGTATGCTAACTGTTCAACTTCCTAGCATAGAAAAAGGGTTCGGCTACATGTTTTTTGCTGGTAACTGGGTTGCTTCGGCTAAGAGGACTGTAGAAATCCATCCCAGATGTTCGAAGGAAGGCTCTGACCTGAAGGGGAGTTCGATTTCATGACTGAACTGCCTATTGCAATCTRACCTGAAGGGAAGTTCGAGTTCATGACTGATGACTGTGCTGCCTATTGCTGGTACTGAGATTTTTTTTTTTATTTCTTCCTGTTTATGGCTTCTTGCACGACTGTTAATGTTCCAGAATCTGAGTAGGGACTGTTCCCCTTCCTCCGATTGTATGTTGCCCTAGTTTGCACTCTAAGG